GGGCCGTATAGGTCACTGTGGTGACTCCGGCTGAGTGGGATATTGAGCTATAGAATTAATCGTATAGGACCAAGTGCAGGGTCTCCGATTGATTCCTTATTTCACCTGATTTATATTTTGATTCATGGCATGACATATTTTTCTTGAAAAATGTTAAAGACTTGGGATTTGAGTTTTGAGATTACATATGGTTTTATATATACTATTTTCTGGGAAAGTATACAGGTTTTACGGTGAAGGGTTAGAAATGTTTTAAGTGAAATGTTTTCGAAAAACTTTATTTTACTGACCCACTCCATTTTGTTTTGCGCCCCTCCAGGTTCAAGTTAGCAGATCTTTGGTGGCCACGAGGAATCCAACGGTGTTCTGACAGAATTCACAAAAGTAGGATTCACCCTCGGGTGTTATACCTTAGTAATTGTATCTTTAAAGCTTCCGAACTGTGTAAATGGTTACGTCACTCTCACGTGACGGCCAGCATGCCCTCCTTCGGGACGGGGTGTGTCATGTAAATAGTATCGCTATATATATATATATGAATCAAATTCTTAGAGAAATTATGTGGATATTGGTATAGTTTGACAAATCAAAGCTAAAAACCGCATTGATCCAATTTTATTTCTATTGACTAACAAGGTTGTGATGTCTATTAATTCCCTAGTTGTTATAAATATGTAAAAGTTAGAGGGATAACCTTTTAAATAGGTGTGAAGCAGATGTAAAATATCATACTAAAACTATAGTTTAAGTGAATGACAAATAAAAGATGGAGGAATGAATGATATTGTTGATCCTTTTGTTTTGATCTGTATGTTGAAAGCATTACAAAGTGCTCTATTTATAGAGCAACTCCAAGCACACATCTTTGACAATATGATCTTCCTTCATCTCCCAAGTCAATATTGATTTTTATGGGCATTGAAAATCTACCCAATGTTTTCAGTTTCTACGTGGGCATTCATTACCCACTATTATTTTCAACACTCATCCTTGGATGCCCACATATCAACATCAGTTGCCTCGTTAAAACCTTGCTTGGAAAAACCCAGTGGGAATAAAACCATACCGAAGAGTACAACTTTACCTGAATTGTTGATATAGTGTTAAGTATGTTTATGTTGCCTCGTTAAAACCTTGATAGGAAAAACCCAGTGGGAAAAATCCTAATCGAAGGAAAAAGAGTACAACAAGCATGTATCATGGATGCTCCCCCTGATATGTATCTCCCCCTGATTCCTCATTCTCCAAATTCAGCTGTTTGGTAAGTCGACGTAATCTGATACTTTGCATTAACTTCTGAAATGTGCATTTTGGTAGAGACTTGGTGAACAAGTCTGCCAGATTTTCATTAGAACGGATTTGTCTGACGTTAATAACTTTAGCCTTCTGGAGCTCATGTGCACTGAAAAACTTTGGAGATATGTGTTTAGTCTTATCGCCCTTGATGAATCCTTCCTTCATTTGGGCAACACATGCTGCATTATCTTCATGAATGACAGTTGCATTGTCTGTCTTCGAAGTTAGACCACATGAATTCCGAATATGATGAATCATTGATCTTAACCAAGAACATTCACGACTTGCTTCATGTAAAGCAAGTATTTCTGAATGATTTGAAGATGTAGCAACTAATGTTTGCTTTGTTGAGCGCCATGAGATTGTTGTATCTCCATTGTTGAACACATATCCAGTTTGTGAGCGGGCTTTATGCAGATCAGAGAGGAAACCAACATCTGCATATCCGACAAGGACCTGGTCATTTATGGAGTTCTTTGAGTAGAAGAGACCTATATCTTTTGTCCCACAAAGGTATCACAATATATCTTTGACACCCTTCCAATGACGGATTGTTGGAGCAAAGTTATACCTGGCTAACAAGTTGACTGAAAAAGCTATATCTGGTCTGGTACATTGTGCTAAATACAACAAAGCACCTACTGCACTCAGATATGGTACTTCTGGTCCAAGGACCATTTCATCATCTTCTTTTGGACGGAATGGATCTTTCTTAATGTCCAGAGAACGAACGACCATTGGTGTGCTGAGTGGATAAGCCTTGTCCATACCAAATCGCTTCAGGATTTTTTCAATGTAAGCTGATTGATGGACCAAAATTCCACTAGCACAATGCTCGATCTGCAGGCTGAGACAAAATTTTGTTTTTCCAAGGTCTTTCATTTCAAATTCGCTTTTCAGATATTCAGCAGTTTTATGTAACTTTTCAGGAGTTCCAACTAGGTTCATATCATCAACATATACTGCCACTATAGCAAATGCAGAGTTGGATTTCTTAATGAACACACAAGGGCAAATGACATTGTTAATATACCCTTCTTTGATCAAATACTCACTGAGACAATTATACCACATTCGTCCAGATTGTTTTAGCTCATACAATGATCGCCTTAATTTGATCGAGAGCATACTTCGTGGTTTGTTAGCTGTTTCAGGCGACTTGAGTCCTTCTAGGACTTTCATATATATGTCAGTATCTAATTCTCCATATAGATACACAGTGATGACATCCATAAGTCGCATGTCAAGCTTTTATGAAATCACTAAACTTATTAAGTAACGGAACGTAATTGCGTTCATTACAAGAGAGTATGTCTCCTCATAATCAATTCCAGGTCTTTGTGAAAAACCTTGTGCAACGAGTCGTGCTTTATATCTTGCAATCTCATTTTTCTCATTGCGTTTCCTTGTGAATACCCATTTGTAACCCACAAGATTTACACCAGGCGAGGTTTGGACTACTGGTCCAAAAACACTTCGCCTTTCCAAGGAATTTAATTCTGTCTGGATTGCATCTTTTCATTAGGCCAATCTTGTCTCTGTTTGCACTCATCAATATAGCGGGGCTCAAGATCATCACTTAATATGATTTCAGTGGCTACTGCGAATGCAAACATATCGTCAATGAGTATTTCATTCCGATCCCACAATTCATTAGTACATGCATAATTTATGGAGATTTTTTTGCTCTCATGTACTACTGTCTCTTCAGGGACATGTGTCTCATCAAGGACATTCTCTTCTTCTGGAAGTCCAGAATCATGAATTGTGGATTTGTCATTCATTTCCTCTTCCTGAATGATTTCATTTGGATTCAGCTGTGCCCTTGTCTTTCTCTTTCGAGGGGCTGAATCTTTTGAACCTCGTGGTCTACCACGCTTCAGGCGTGCACCAGATGAATCATTCGCTGCCACTTTATTTTGTCCAACAGGGACATCAATTTTGGCAGGTGCATTTACAGCGGGTATATGTGATTTTGTCACTTTCATAGCATCATTAAATGCATCTGGCATTTGATTGGCAATGCTTTGAAGATGAATGATCTTTTTTACTTCATTTTCACATTGAATGCTTCGAGAATCAAAATGAGACAAGGTGGGAACAACCCATGTCAGCTCTTTCCGTTCTTTTGGAACAGTCTTTTCTCCCCCTAACGATGAGAAAACTGTCTCATCAAAATGACAATCAGCAAAACGAGCTGTAAACATATCACCTGTCAAGGATTCCAAATATCTAATGACAGATGGTGAATCAAAACTCACATAAATTTCCAGTCTACGCTGATGTCCCATTTTAGTGCGTTGCGGGGGTGCAATAGGCACATAAACAGCACAACTAAATACTCGTAAATGTGAAATGTGATGTCCAAACACGAGTTGTATTGAAGAGTATTGGTGGTTGGCTATAGGTCTCAATCGAACCAATGATGCATCATGTAGGATGGTATGTCTCAATGCAGAAACTGGCAATTTGGTTTTCATAAGCAGAGTGCGAGCTATTAACTGAAGCCACTTGATCAATGCTTCTGCTAAACCATTTTGAGTATGGACATGAGGAACAAGGTGTTCAACATCAATGCCCAATGTCATGCAGTAATCATCAAAAGTTTGAGACGTAAATTCACCAGCGTTATCAAGTCGGATTGACTTAATGGGATAATCTGGGAACTGTGCTCATAACTTAGTTATCTGAGCAAGAAGTCTCGCAAAAGCTACATTCCGAGTAGACAAGAGACAAACATGTGACCATCTGGTAGATGCATCAAACAAAACCATAAAATATCGAAATGGTCCACAAGATGGTTGAATAGGTCCACAAATATCCCATTGAATTCTTTGCAGAAATGATGGGGATTCAGCATCAACCTTTAGTTGTGATGGTCTAATTACCAACTTCCCTTGAGAATAAGCCTGACAAGGGTTATCATTTGAGATAGTAATGTCTTTGCTCAATAATGGATGTCCATTAGAGTTGGTAATGATCCTACGCATTATGGTGGATCCTGGATGACTCAGACGGTCATGCCAAAGCATGTAAACTTTTGAATCAATGAAATTCTGGTTCATGACAGTATGTGATTCAACTGTCTTTATGTATGTATAATACAATCCACTTGACAAACTACGCAACTTCTCCAATATACGCTTCTCGGTATCATTGGAGGTAATGCATAGATACTCCACATTTTCTGCACTTTTCGTTTCAATGTGGTATCCATTTAAACGTATGTCTTTGAAACTCAACAAGTTTCGAGTAGATCGAGTAGCGTACAACGCATTCTGTATGGATAATATTGTTCCATTTGGTAACATAATTTGGGCTTTCCCTGAGCCTTCAATCATATCTGATTGACCTGATATTGTTGTTACCTTTACTTTTGTAAACATCAAGCTTGAGAAATACTTTCGATCTCAAAGTATTGTATGAGTTGTTGCGCAGTCTGCAAGACAGATATCTCTGCCATTTTTCATGTTCTGAGAATTACCATAGTTTTTATCCATGCTCTATGAGTAAGGGAATCAGAGTTAAAAACAAGTTATAACAAGAAATTTACATGCCACTTTTATTGAATCTGAAATGCTAGTTTTACACAACAAGTTCAGCATAAAAAAAGTACATCAAACATAAACGATTCAGTCGGACCGGTATACTTCATTCCCTCTTTCCATAATGAAGTCTGAAACATCTAGGTGGGTTGTGTCCAATTACCCTGATAAATCAAACACTGGATCAGGTATATCCATTGGCTTAGCCTGGTCGAGAAAATTGGTCTCGACACCTTTCTCCTTGAGGGATGCTTGATACAGCTCCACTAGATGTTTTGGGGTACGACAAGTGCGCACCCAATGCCCATTGCCACCACACCTATGGCAGGCTCCTTCAGAGTTCTTGGGAGCATTGTTCATGTGAGCTTTGCCTTTGTGGCGATTCACATGTTTAAAGCTCGGGCCTGAATTATGCCTCGGAACCTGGTTGTGAAACTGACCACCATGATTATTGCTTTTCCTATTCCATCGACCTCGCTTGTGGCCACGTCCTCGTTTATGATTATTGCCACCAGAGGATGTGGCGTTCACTTCAAGGGAAGCATCATTCACTTCTGGTAATGGTGCAGATCTAATAGGTTGAGAATTATGGTTTTTCATCAAGAGTGAATTGTTCTGTTCAGCTACCAGGAGCACATATATTAGTTGGTTGTATTCAGTGAAGCCTCGCGCTCTATACTGCTGCTGCAGGAGCACGTTAGAGGCATGAAATATGCTGAAAGTCTTTTCCAGCAACATTTCCTCAGTAATAGTATCCCCACAGAGCTTCATCTGAGAGGTAATTCTGAACAACGTAGAATTGTACTCAGCCACTGACTTGAAATCCTGGATCCTTAGGTGAGTCCATTCATAGCTAGCTCTTGGAAGAATCACCGTTGTCTGGTTATTGTATCTGCTTCTCAAAGCCTGGCAGAGAGCTAACGGATCTTCAACCGTTAAGTACTCACTCTTTAGTGCCTCATCAAGATGACGACGAATAAAAATCATAGCCTTCACCCGCTCTTGAGAGGATGAGTTGCTCTCTTCCCTGATGGTATCTCCAAGATTCCCTGCTTCCAGATGGATTTTGGTATCCAGTACCCAAGTAAGGTAATTCTTCCTGATAATGTCCAGGGCAGCATATTCAAGCTTTGCCAAGTTCGCCATTTTCTTTTCTGAAAGAAAATTGAGATGTGTAAGAACTTGCAATAATATGTATTCCTGGAGGAATATAGTGTTAGAACTTCTGGTTCTTACAAATTTTTTATTTTGATCTTCAAGCCAAAATGATAAGTACTCGAAACTTCTGGCTCGAGATTTTCAAGGTGAATGAGAAGGACAATTGTACCGCACCATTCTCATTGAAATAATGTAACATAGAATGGGTGATTATTCCGCACCACTCAAGTAGCAGGAAAATTTAAATACGCAGAGCAGTGTGGGCGATTATACCGCACCACCTAAAATTGCAATGAAATTAAACTGCAGGCAAATTAAATATACAGGGTAGGGCGGGCGATTATACCGCTCCACCTAAAATTTGCAGTAAAATTAAATCTGTAATTCAAGATAGGCGATGATACCGCACCATCTTGGATCGCAGTAACATGAAATTTGCAGTTCAAGATGGGCGATTGTACCGCACCATCTTGGATTGCAGTAAAATCAGCATAAATAAATATTGGGTTAGTAATCAATATCTAAACCAAACAAGAAATCATAGATGTATGTAACCACTAGTTGGAGAACTAGAAGCAGGCATGTAGCAAACAATTCGTCGCGAGGGTGTACCGTGCAGTTGAGGCAGAGGAAGAAGATGAACAGTAAAAACCTTAGAGGAAACATTTTTTTCTTTCGGCGAAGAGAAATGATTTCTTTCAGCGAAGAGGAATGAGAAATAGTTATATTTAGAGACTCCTGCTGATAACGTGTTATAAATATGTAAAAGTTAGAGGGATAACCTTTTAGATAGGTGCGAAGCAGATGTAAAATATCACACTTAAACTATAGCTCAAGTGAATGACAAATAAAAGATGGAGGAATGAATAATATTATTGATCCTTTTGTTCTGATCTGTATGTTGAAAGCATTACAGAGTGCTCTATTTATAGAACAACTCCTGTTGTACTTTTATGCGCAAACGGAAACGAATTATAACAAAGTACCAAATATCAACGTCGTAGGTGAAAGCTAAAACAAACAATCTCAAACTAACACGAGATTTACGTGGTTAGGCGTAAAGCATACGTCCACGAGCAAAGCACGGCGATGAATTTCACTAAACAAATGGAGATTACAAAAGAGTGTTTAAACTCTCACAACCCAAATCCCACAAATTACAAACCCTAAACCAAACGAGTAGATAACCCAAAACTAACGGAGAAAAATTGCTCTCTAACTCACAAACTCATAAATTGACTCTCACCAAATTGCCACACGAATGAGCCACGAATTTGCCACACACTCGTGACTCCACCCAAAACCAAAATAGAGAAAAGTTCTCTAAACCATGACGAGGCACACTAAATACACTAACCCTAAGGTCCTATTTATAGTGTATAGGACTTAGGTTACAATAAGAATCCTAATAGGAAATAAATCCAAATCCTAATCAAATAGGTAATTAACAAAATCTTTCCACCAAGGAAACTAACTAAGAAGTCAAAACCAAACCCAATTAGGACACCAAAACCAAATAGGTAACACAAACCTAATTTATTGTATCATCTTAATTTTGAGCCAAAAACCCAAAAACTCCAAGCACACATCTTTGACAATATGATCTTCCTTCATCTCCCAAGTCAATATTGATTTTTATGGGCATTGAAAATCTACCCAATGTTTTCAGTTTCTACGTGGGCATTCATTACCCACAATTATTTTCAACACTAGTCTTAATCTAACAGTTGATGTCTATTAATTCCTAGTCTTAATCTAACAAGGCTGTGATCCAATTTTCCTCCAGAAACCAGCTGTGCAACCCAATTCGGACCCTGAATTTGACTCCATTCTTTGCGTCAACTAACAGTTACATAAATATCCAGAGCTTCATTTTGCAGCCTAGCTAAAATGGAGTTCTCAAGTATTCATATTAGCATTTGGCTTATTTTCATCCAACCACTCTTTCTTCTCTTTCTTTTTAGCTCTGCCTCCTCCTCCCGTTTAGCGGGAAATGAGGTGGATAGGCTTTCCTTGCTTGCCTTCAAAGCTGAAATCGTGACTGATACCCTGGGCATCCTTGGCTCTTGGAATGAATCCCTCCACTTCTGTCGTTGGCCAGGCATCACTTGTGGCGGCAGACACCAGAGAGTTACAGTGTTCGACCTCCGATCAAGCGGGCTGGCAGGCCACCTATCTCCCCACATTGGAAACTTGAGCTTTCTGCGGGCTTTATACCTCCATAACAATAGCTTCAGCCACACCATCCCTCCAGAAATTGGTCGTTTGTTCCGCTTGCAAAGACTAGGCCTTGAAAACAACTCCTTCAGTGGTCATATTCCATTCAACATATCAAGTTGCTCTAACCTCCAATACCTTGGCTTATTAGGCAACACTCTTAGTGGCGAACTTCCAACTGAAATTGCCTCATTGTCCAAGCTTCAGTTTCTTGATTTAGGCAAGAACAATTTTTCTGGGACAATCCCACCTTCTTTTGGGAATCTTTCTTGTCTTTGGATGTTATCTGTGATTGAAAATAATCTGCATGGAGGTATTCCAAATAGCCTTGGCCAGTTGAAAAGCTTAATGGCTTTCTTATTGGCTGTCAATTATTTGAATGGTACCGTTCCTCCCTCCATATACAACCTCTCGTCAATTAAATTCATTTATATGGCTCAAAACAACCTTCATGGAACTCTTCCTCCTGGCTTGGGCCACACTATATTTCCAAACCTCGAAACCTTTGTTTTCTATGCCAATCAATTCACTGGACCAGTACCAGCTTCAATCTCCAATGCCTCAAACCTTTCAGTATTTTCTATCTCTTCCAATAAGTTTACTGGGAAAGTGCCTAGTCTGGCACGCCTGTCAAATTTGTATTTGTTTGGACCTAATGATAACAATCTTGGAAATAATGAGGAAGGTGACTTGGATTTCATCTCTTCTCTAGTTAATTGCACCAATTTAGAAGTTTTAGATATCAGTGCCAATAGTTTTGGAGGATTGATGCCTGAATCTGTCAGTAATCTCTCAACAAAGCTCAGGAAAATATTTTTCTATGAGAATCAGATACACGGAAGCATTCCCATCCGAGTTGGAAATCTTATCAACATGGAGATACTAAACTTTCATGCAAATTTATTGGCAGGCACTATACCGAGTTCAATAGGTAAACTGAATAAGCTTTATGACCTATATCTAGATTCGAATGAATTGTCAGGTAATGTTCCATCATCTCTAGGAAATCTTTCTTCATTAAGCAACTTGTATCTCAGCTCAAACAAGTTAAATGGAAGCATACCACAAAGTCTCGGAGACTGCAGGTTTATGTTAGAATTGGATCTTTCCCACAACAATCTTAGCGGTCCAATTCCAAAACAAGTCATCAATTTACATGTTCACTTGGATCTACCTGGAAACCAACTTGTTCACTTGGATCTATCTGGAAACCAACTTACTGAATCCATTCCCATGGAAGTAGGTAACTTGCCGCATCTTGTTTTCTTGGATGTTTCTGAAAACAAGTTATCTGGTGAGATTCCACAAAGCTTAGGGAGTTGCACAAGTTTGACGACTCTGTCTCTGAGAGAAAATTTATTGCATGGGACAATTCCTAAATCCTTGAGCTCTTTGGGAGGAATTGAAGATTTCGACCTCTCTCGCAACAAATTGTCTGGCATAATTCCCAACTACTTGGGGAGTTTCCCCTTCTTGCATAATTTGAACCTTTCATTTAACGATTTTGAAGGTGCAGTACCAATCCAAGGAGTATTTAAGAATGCAAGTGCGGTATCTATTGTGGGAAACACATGGCTTTGTGGAGGTATACCTCACTTAGGATTGCCTAAATGCATCTCCAAGCAATCTATGCGCGGGTTATCTCCTAAGTTGAACTTAATTATCTCAGTTTCCTGTGGGGTTGTCGGCTTGGTCTTGGTGTTGTTACTTGCGCTTCTTTATCGATCAAGAAAAGCTAGAGCGCTTAAGTCAACTTCAGGATCATCACTGGGGTTTTCACTCTTGAAACTATCCTATGGAGATCTTTTCAAAGCAACTGATGGGTTCTCTGCTTCGAATCTGATTGGTGCTGGAAGTTTCGGGTATGTGTACAAGGGAGTTCTCAATCAGCATGAAGAAAGAAATGTTGCGGTGAAAGTACTCAATCTTCGAACTTCAAGAGCTTCTAAAAGTTTCATAACTGAATGTGAAGCCTTGAAAAGCATTAGGCATCGAAATCTTGTCAAGCTAATGACTGCTTGTTCAAGCATTGATTTTCAAGGAAACGATTTCAAAGCCCTAGTGTATGAGTTCATGGTGAATGGAAGCCTAGATGAGTGGCTGCACATATCAACTCAAGGAGTAGATAGGCCAGCCAATCTGCCAAAGAACCTGAACCTCACTGAAAGAGTTAACATTGCCATCGATGTAGCGTGTGCTCTGGATTATTTGCACAACCGCTCCCACATGCCAATAGTTCATTGTGATATAAAGCCCAGCAACATTTTGTTAGACAGTGACATGACTGCTTGTGTTGGTGATTTCGGTTTAGCAAGGTACTTCAGGGATGCTTCTTGCCCATCTCCTTTGCACGAAAGCAGTTCCAGTGTCATAAAAGGCTCCATAGGCTATACTCCCCCAGGTAAATTTTTTTTTACATACATAAACATACTATATAGTTAGCATGAGTTTTTTCAAGACACACATAAGAACAAAGCTATGTTTTTGTGCATATAACTTAAAAGAGTATGGAATGGGAAGCGAGGTGGCAACATATGGCGACGTGTATAGCTACGGAATACTATTGTTGGAGATGTTAACTGGCAAGAGGCCGACAGATGAAATGTTTAAAGATGGTATGGACCTACACAGTTTTGTTTCCATGGCTCTACCAGGACGTGTGGAAGAAATATGTGATCCAGTACTTGTTCAAATAGAAGAAAGCAACAACAGTACTAATACCAGAAGTAATAGGGGGAATCATGCCCCAAATGATCAAAGAAAAAGGGTTGTGGAGTGCTTGACTTCCATTGCAAGAGTGGGAGTGGCTTGTTCTGTAGCGATGCCGAGGGAGCGAATAGACATGAACAATGTTGTCGCTGAATTGAGTCTAATAAGGGACGTGCTAAATGGAATCAGAATGCCGAGTGAGCGTCTCTGATCAAGGCCTATGTAGTGAGAAATAATAGCCTGTCATCATCATTTCAACTGCCATGAAACTTGGACAGTAGTTTGCGTGGAGTGCTAAATGGATTTTAATATTTTTGCAGTTGCTTTTATTCTAGGATTTGTGAATGATCTTTGTAAGATCATCTTTGTGCTTGCTTGGATGTCTATTAAAGTTTAGTGTTCTGTTTAATATTTTGCGTTACTAAGTTTGTGTTTGTCCAGTCTTCAAATTTGTCAATCTTTCTTACTTTCTTTGTTGTTGACATTGATTGTTTACACACTTGTTATTGTAGTATATACTAGCAATTGAACTTGTGCGATGCTTTAATTGTGTTAAACGTGTAGAATATGTTAAAATCCATTTACATCCATATCAAACTCTATTTACATCCTTATGTTCATTAAGGAATAAAAGATAGGTGTTTGTAGAACACATTACATAGCTAAAAAAGTTGGAGACTAAGCTGTTCATATAGATATAATACACACCAAAATATTTTTGCTTTTCATGTCCCAACTTTCAGATTGTTCCTCAGGACTTCACTCTTCTTTCTTCATCGTTGCCAAAAAGATGTTCTTCTGGCCCAGTCCGTTAAAATATCGTGTGAATGTAATTGAAACCTGAGACAACAGATAGATAGCTAGGAAGAAAGAAAAACACATGCATGAAGAAAACTTGTAATTTTAGACATACACCAACCTACATTCTTACACAATTCTTCCTGTTTTCCCAAATCTTTCCAGACATCAATGAAAACAAAACTGTTCGTAGCAATGAAAACGTAATTTCTACTAATTGCATCCATACAAAAGCTGACAACCCAATGAGGCAGCATTAAGTTACAATGCTTGATCCTCTAATGGAACATTGTTAAAAATTCAAGCACTTGAGCATCTTTTGAGTTTAATTACTACTACTTAAACATGCAAAAAATTGGCTAGACTTTTTTTAATTAACACATCCGTAAGATAGCTAATTCTAATTAGTCTCATGACGAGCAAATAGGTGAATTTGGATTGGCAGTTCTAATATTGACGAATAAGAAAACAAATGGGGGACATATAAGCAAAGCTGAGACAGAGAGTTTACATATATAATCCCTATTTCCTCTTTTTTCATCTGCTCTCAGATACAATGTGAGTGACTAAATGAGTGCATTTAAATTAGAAAGAGATGACATAGGCATAACTGGGCAAAGAAAAGGAGGAAGATAAGATGAAACAAAGAAAAGGCCTTTAAAAAAAATTTGACAGAGGCGTTTTCAGCAAGTAAAAAAACAGAGGCATTTCCAAACAGAAGATTAAGTGTTAGACTTGAGTCACAGACTCACATGAGTACTGAAGGGGGAGGAGAAAAGGCTAACGTCCACCCGCGGCGAATTAGGGATGCATGCGCACGGTTCAACGCCAATGCATACGATGGTATAGTTTGACCATTCATTCAAGTTCCCTAAACACGCAAAATAGGATGAAAATAAATGATTTCATGCAATAGACGTGCAATTCTCGTCAATATTTATGTTTTCATGTCAAGGCAGCATATGAGAACTGATAGCATTCAACATTGCTCACTCCTTATCTAATGAAAAATAGTTTTGCTCCTTATCTAATGAAAAATAGTTTTGCTCCTAACGTTCAATTCCACCGATGATTGGTTTATGAGTTTCAGCCAATTCCTCTCTCACCCTGCGGAAATCCTCCTTATGACAAAAACACAACCCGATTGAAACAATAATCTTAACCATGACGACAAATTAGCAAGGATTTGTATCAGTGATGATGTCAGGACTATTGTTTTCATACCTGTGCAGTCAGAAGAGAGATTCTTTGGCAATCACCTGCAACGGTACACAAACACCATCAAATTTCCAAAATCGGAAAAATGACCAACAAAAAAAAAAAAAAACCCTAATAATTAATTTTTTTTCTTCTAATGCTATGGTTCGGTTCAATTGAGAAAGGGGTATGCAAAAATCAAGAAATCAAGAAAAGAACTGCGAAAAGGGATATTTGTAGAGAAATTTTTGGGATCTAGCGTACGATAAATGGCTTCCCTTCGGTCAAGCGGGTTTTGCAAAACGTCGCGGATGGAATGGTGGTGCCGTGGAAAAATTTGCAGACTCCGATTAGCTCACAATTTAAGATAATTCGAGGGTGTAGAGGAAAAATATTACCCTCTCCGACCCAAAAAAGGTAGGAAAGGCCTGAAATTCCCGGAAAAATAAACACCGCAAGCTGGGCTTTTGGAACTCTTCGGTCGAGGGTAGATTCGAGCACGCAAAGCTCGAATGTTGTTGTTGTTAGCACTCTCTTGAGTCGAATTGTTGTGGTTGCAGTGGCAGCCGTCAGAAAACGTCGATTTTTGGGTTTCTCGTTCGAACGGTAAGTCGGCGTCGGTGAGGAGCGAGAGGGGGAAGAGAGAAGAAGAGAAGAGAATAAAAAA